TGTTTGGATGCTCACCTTCCTAGGCCTGGAGGGAGGGGGGAGGAACTTGAACTTCCCACAGGGCAGGAAACCCTGACTGCTCTTTGGACTGGAGAGGGAGGAGGAGAGGGAGTGGGGGGAGGAGAGGGAGTTGGGGGAATGGGAGGGTATGGGGAGGAGGGGAGGAAGTGGAAATTTTTATAAACAAATAAATAAAAAATAAATAAATAAAAAGTCTGCTTAGCTTTCTTTCCTCTTGTATTCTCTAAACTTGGTTATTCTGTCAGTTGTTGATCTGTGACTAATCACCACTCTGGGGTCTACAGACATACTCAATAAAACATGAAAATCTCATTTTCATACAGAACAAACATATCAAGGTATCCTATTTCCCAAACTTAACAACTCAGATATCACCCTTCTCTCTATTTGCCACATCTAGCTACCACCAAAAACTACTACTTACTTGGAATTTTCTTTAATTCTGATCCCCTTTAGCTCACTTTAATAAAGTCATTATTTCTTTGATATAAAAAAAGTAAGCAGTACCCTCTGTGCAGAGGAAATGCAAATAGAAAGTGCTATGAAAAGCCTGCTGTAACATTTCACTAGATACTACTGCTCAAATTGTTTCTAAGCTATGTCCTGGCCTCCTTTTTACTAAAAGGGGAGATTATGAAATTAGATAGTAGAGATGTACCCTCATTAAATTGAAGCTTTCCCTTTTCAGAAGGATTCAAAAGACCATTGGAAAAGGATTTATTTTTTTCTCTGTCTGTGATGTTTTAAAATGACTCATTGTGTATCCCTATTTATTTTTCTAACATGGTCTTGTCTTACACTAAAATGATTTTTGTAACATTGGTGGTATCTATTCTTCTCTCTTATAAAAGGTGTCAGGAATGGCATACTTTGTTTACTTTGGTTGTGCCTGAAACATCCTAGTTTCAATCTTAGTTGACAATTTGATGCAATCTAGAGTCACCTGAGAAAAGAACCTCATCTGAGGAATTACCTAGACCAGATTGGCCTTTGGGCATATCTGTGGAGGAAGATCTTGATTGTAAGAGAGCCCAGCCTACTGTGGGCAGTGCCATCCCTATGTAGGTGGTCCTGGGTTATATAAGGTTATCCTGACAAATACGGTAAAATAAAGGATATCTATCTGTTAAAATCCACAGACCCAGAAAAACTAAGTAACAAGAAGGGCTCAAGTGGGAGGGCACCCAGTTCTCCATGGAAAGTAAAAATAGAAGAGATTTTGTGAATGGACTGAGGGTGGGTGGGGATGAGAATATGAGCAATCAGGTAGGGTGGAGAGGAAGAGTAATGAGAGACTACTGGAAAGAGGGGGTGCATATGAGCCTCAGGTAAAACTCTGGCACAAGGGAATCTCCCAGGAATCTACAAAGATGATCCCAGTTAAGACTCCTAGCAATAGCAAATATTAACTGGCCATCTCCTGTGACCAGGAGGGGAACATGGAAAGGGCATGCAGGACCCTGAACAGAATCCTCACTTTGGATGGGCTTACTGAAGTCATAAAGCAGTGGTGTTTCTATGAGAAGACCTGCCGCCGCCGCCAGTGGGAGAGCTATGAAACATGGCGGAGGATCTACAGCATGGAAATGGCTCGAAAGATTAACTTCTTGATGAGGAAGAATCGGGCAGATCCATGGCTAGACTGCTAAGGCCTGTGGATAGAAGGCCCACATTAGTTCTGTGTCTGACTGTTCTTACCAGACCCAATCTCTGTTACCTTTCTCTACAATAAACTCAATCACACATGAACAAGAAAAAAATAAATGAATAACAAATAAACAAACAAACAAATAAATAATGACCAGTTGGGTGTAAAAGAGATACTAGAGTCAAAGTAGTGAGGTCTTGAACATTTAGAAAGGAAAGTAGAGGTGCTTGCAGCTGGCGTGAGATCATCAAACTGGCCAAATAAGAGAAAGAGTAGAGACGGGAGGGAAGACAGTGTCACAGGTTGTCTGGCTCCCAGGAAGCACTTTGCCTAGGGAACATTCAGAAGGCCCTGCTGCCCTTCATGTACTCTAACAGTGTTCATTGTCACAGACCAAAATGCACTAATAGTGTTTATGGTTACAGACCAAGCTAAAGACGGCTCCAAAAGAGTTTCCACCTGCCTCAGACCACCCAGCGTACAAGCAGCTAAATAAGATGTAACCAAGAAAAACTGCAACTACACCTTGGTGACTGCCATTGTGCTAACTTCATAGACCACAAAGGGAAATGTTCAGCATCCTTAGCCATCAGGAAAATGTAAATCAAAATGACTCCGAGATTCCATCTTATTATGCCTGTTAGAATGACTAAGATCAAAAACACAAATGACAGCTTATGCTGGAGATGATGTGGAGCAAGGGATGCTGGTAGGAGTGCAAATTTGCACAGCCACTTTCAAAATCAATTGGGAATCAATCTACCTCTAGACCCAGCTATACCACTCTTAGGCATATACCCAAAGGATGTTCAATCATACCACCAGGACAATTTCTCAATTATGTTCATAGCAGTTTAATCCATAAAAGCCAGAACCTGGAAAAAACCTAGATATTACTGTAAATGGATAAAGAAAATGAGGTACATTTACATAATAAAGACTTCCTGTTGGCTTAAACCTATCTGAGCAATCTTCTCTGGTGAATACACCCACAATATTAAGGTTTTTCTTTCCTTCTTGGTCTGTGTTCCTTTATCGCGCTATCCTCACTCACTGTGGTGGTTTAAATAAGAATGGTCCCCATAAGCTAATATGTTTGAATACTTAGTTATCAGGGAGTAGCAATATTTGAAAGAATTAGGTGTGACCTTGGAGGAAATGCGCCAGTGGGGGTGGGCTTTAAGGGTTCAAAAAGCCCATTCCAAGACAAGAGTTTCTTTCTTCCAGCTGTCTGTGGATCTAAATGTAGAACTCTCAGGAACTTCTCAAGCACCATGTCTGCCTTCATGCCACCATGCTCTTCACTATGATCACAATGGACTAAACCTCTGAAACCGTAAAGTAGCACCAATTAAATGCTTTCTTTTATAAGAGCGGCCATGGTGTCTCCTCACAGCAGTAGAACACTCAGACCTTCACCAAGCCTATGAGCCTTGACTCGAGCTGAGCAGTCTACCCCCATCTCCCCACACCTCCCTCACTTTGCTACATCCCCTTCTGTTAAAGGCTGAAGTGTCCTCGTGATAGCAAGGGAATCGGGCTGGGCAGATCCCTCTTAAGAAAGGAACTTGGTCCAATTGTAGAGTCCTGGCTGCAGTCATCAGTGGTCAACTTAAGTTAGAAGCAGCCTCAGCTCCAAAGTGGCCTCTTACCCACATAGGCTCATGCCCTTCCCAGTCGACAGACTAGGAGAGAATGAGACCAGATTTCAGGATTCTGCTATTTTAATTCAGGTGAGACAACTCCATAGGGCTGTGTCAAAAGCTTGGCCCTGCCTCTTTCCCTTTCCTTCACAGGGAAATGAACCCCCCCGTCAGTTCATGCTTACCCTCATACAGAGGAAAAGCCTGGAAAACCCAAACTGAGACATACCATCTTCAATGAGGCCCCCATTTCTTGCCATTCTAATTAAGCTATTCTTTATCTTTCCTAAATTTCATCAGTGTGTTGTTGCTGTTGTTACATTTTTATCTTTAAAAATACATCTTAATCTTTGATAGCTTCAAACGTTTATTCAATGTGTAATGATCATATGCATCTACCACTACCTCCCACCGGTTCTCCCTAGGGACCCCACCCCATTCCCTTCTCAACTTCATGTCCACTTCTTATTATAATTAAGAACCTCTGAGTCTAATTAATGCTGCCCATGCCTCAGTGGTTTTACCTAGCAGTGAACACTAAATTTTATAATACTGATCTGCTAGTGGCATGACAGTTATAGGGGTAGCCAACTGTTTACTGGTTGACTATGAAGCCTAAATCATGGGAGAAAATTCATGCCTGCGCACTGTAAACCTGGTTAAAAGCCTGTGGTTAGGGAAACCATAGGTCCTAGAAGGAAACCTACTTTTGCTACACAAAATGATCATGCTGTCAAACTACATTCTAAATATTTCTAGATGTAAGTAGATTTTTTTCTTTTTCCAAAGCTATTTTTTACTTTGGTCAGAGAAACTGCTTCATGCTGTGGGTAGTGGTTAGTACAGACACTCCTAACTGGCCAAAGTGCTGAGTATAACTAACTCTAGTGCTCTGCTGTGGCTAAGTCATCTGTATTAAAATCCCACCAAAGCTCAGGGAATATAACGGAAGGGAGGGGCTAAAAAGAAATGGAAGAGTTGATGGATGGGGAGGAAAGCTGTGAAATGCTGGTTCTGGACACAGCAAGGCTATGGACTTCATTAATTCATAGTAGCAATGGTTACCTGCACAAGATCAAGTCAGTCAAAATTCCAGCACAGATGAAGGCAGGGTCCCTGAGGCCCCACTCCTATTAGAAGAGTCATCGGCTGTTTCAAATGGGATAATCACTCTCTTTGGGAACACTGCCACTGGCAGGCTGCACATGTCCCAGTAGATATGCTCATCCTGTTTTCTCACTTCACCTCCCTCCAGATTATCATCCAAAGAAAGTCATGACCAGACCTTCACTCTTCATGTTTATGTCTATGGATGTTTTGCCTACACACATGTATGTGCACCACATGCATTCAGTCCTCACAGAAGCCCAAGAGGGAGTCAGATACCCTGGAATTGGCATTACAGATGGTTAGAAGCCACCATGTGTGTGTTATGAATCAAACCCGGGTCCTCTGGAAGAACAGTACTCTAAACTGCAGAACCACCTTTTGAGACTCATAGTTGAAAATGTTAAAAATCCTCATTTTGAATTTCCTGAGTTTTAGTATACTTTACTCTGGATTGAAATGTTTCAATTCAGATAAAACTACCACATAAATATCAAAAGAAAAGTGTTAAAAATATATTCAAATGGTCCCCAGACAGTGATATAAACAGAGCAACGACAAGCAAGAGGATGGAACACATATTATTATTCTCCTTTTACTTTATTTCAGTCATATAAATTGAGGCTATTGGGTCAGAGATCAGATGACATATTCTATAGGTTTACCTAAAGAACATCAAAGCAAAAAAAAGCTTGGAAGAAGGCATGACACGAATTCTTTATCTTGAATGATAAAGAGGCTGAAGTGTCCAGATCCATGTATGCGAGAGATGGAGTCCATGAACCACCTAAGTAAAGTAGAGAGTCACCTGGAGCAGCCCAGGGCACATCAGCACAGGGGCAGAGGGCTTCTGGAAATGGCATTGCAGTCACCTGGCTGACTAGGGATTTGAAAAATCCTGTCTTCTTTCCACCCACTTCACCTCCCTCGAGATATTTTGCAGGGGATTAATTCCCTCCAGAGATCAGCTTGCTCTAAACCTTGATAATCCAGATTAGTGGTTTAGCTCAGTTCTCCCTGGGTTATCTCACGCTAGAGCAGGGACGTGGGTATTTACAGGGAAGCGACAGGCTGTGCTTCTGGGAAACTCAACCTTGAAGGCCTCCTCCAAGCTAAGACTTATCAGGCTCCTCCTCACAGCCCTGTGACTAGTGGGACACTCTCTCGCCAAGAAAAAGAAATGAGGTTGTTGTTAGAGGAGCCAGGCAGAAAGTAGGTTGTGTGTGGAACTTTTTGAAAGATTTTCTTTTCTTCCTTCAGACTGTGAAAAAGTTCCCCACACCATCTTTTCCCAAGGGAGACACAAAAGGAAAATCTGTGGGAAACAGAGAATTAGGGAAAGATATCATGGCCCCTGGAATGTTTGATGACAACTGATCATAGTACCATTCATAAGTACCATTCATATTTATATACACATTCTACTTCTACATGTGCTTGTTCGCATGTCTCTTCTCCCAAGTAGCAAAGCAACTGTTTGCAGCCATCCCCAAGTCCACATCGTGGCAAGTCCACAGCCACCCTGCACCCTGCACCCTCCACCCTGCACCCTGCACCCTCCACCCTGCACCCTCCACCCTGTACCCTGAACCCTCCACCCTGAACCCTGAACCCTCCACCCTCCATCCTCCACCCTCCACCCTGCACCCTGCACCCTCCACCGTGCACCCTCCACCCTGCACCCTCCACCCTGCACCCTGAACCCTCCACCCTTCACCCTGAACCCTCCACCCTCCATCCTCCACCCTCCACCCTCCACCCTGCACCCTGTACCCTCCACCCTCCACCTTCCATCCTCCATCCTCCACCTAAGGACTCCTGGGAATTCAGACCTCTACATGCTCCATGACAAGGCAGCATGTATCTGCAGCTTCTTACCTCTTCAACGAGACATCATCTTCACAAACTCTGAAAAAGAAAATTTCCTGTGACATTCCTCTTAGGGAAAGCAACTCGTTTCACATCTTTTTCCCTTGAAAATAGGTCCCTCAGTGAACCTAGAGCTCACTAATTATTGTTGTTGTTGTTGTTGTTGTTGTTGTTTTAATGCGTATTGGTGTTTTGCCTACATGAGTGCCTGTGCACCACATGTATACAGTGCCCAGTGAGAACAAAAGATCTCACTGGAACTGGAGTTGGGAACTGACATGGGTTCTGGGTCCTCTGGAAGAGCAACTAACACTCTGAACCACTGCGCCATCTCTCCAGACCTATCTCACCAATTCTTTGGTAAGCTGCAGGCCAGGAACTGCAGTGAACCTCTGATCACCACCTCTATCCTCCACCAGTTACAGGCATGAGCCCATGCCTGAATATTTTCTCACATGGGTGCTAGGTATCCAAACTCAGGTATCCTCAAGGCAAATGCTCTTATCCACCGAGCTCTACCTCTAACCTTTGTTCTATCTTTCAGTCCTCCTGATGCCATCTCACAGAAAAGAAATAGAGGCTAGTAAGGGACACTGGCCTGCCTGTGATCAGGTGGATAGTGAATAGAAGGCCCTGAATGAACAGATTGCCCATTACTTTGTCTAGATGTAATGTCAGATGAATTTGCTGGCTCCAATACATCTTGAGGTCATTTTATCTTTCCTTTGCTTATAGTTGGCCTCACCTCCACCTCCTTCCCATTTTCTGATGCACAAGGTCCATCTGTGACTGGTAAGATTCAGCAGGTACCTAACAAATTTATTAAGTTTCCATTTGGGGACTTGTAGAACAGACATGACTTTTAAAAGACCCCTCTCAATGGCTGGGGAGCTGGATCTGTGAGTAAGAGTGCTTGTTACAAAAGCTTGAGGAGCTCAGTTTGAATCCCTGGTACTCACATTAAAAATTCCAGTGTGCACCTATAACCACAGGGCTGTAGGAGGTGGTAAGAGGAGGACTGCTGGGGCTTGCAAGTTACCAGCCTAGCTTCAGGTTCAGAGAGAGCCTCTCTCTAGAGGGAATACAGTGGAGAGTGACAGAGCTGGACACCCAATGCCCTCCTCTGATCTCTGTGAGTGTGTGTGCACACACATATGGTACATTGGCCTCACACACAAGCACCAGCAAAAGGAAGGGGTGGGTGGGAGATCCTCAACTGTCCTGCCGCCTGGAAACAAACACAAGGTAAGTTCCACAGAAAAGAGAAAAACTGTCTAGAAGGCTCACAGTCAGGTTTAATATACTCAGGCAAGGGTAAGGGAAGATTCTTAGCAACTGGTATTGGCATGTGTCCTTGAGGGATGCGGAAGTCTTAGAAGTGCAACAAGTGGGCAGGACGTGAGATACAAAGGAAGAGAAGTTGAAGGATGTGCAACAGCAAACACATTTCCCCCAGGGCACACCAATTCACAGCATGGTTGAAGAAGACAGGACTGGGTGGCCTGAAGAGGCATGACTTGGAGAACAGACTACACATGGTGGCCCCATGCCTGAAGGCAATAACTAGATGCTGAGTACTTTAAACCAGAGAATATCACAATTTAAACTTGATGTAGCCAACCTATGCTTCCCTCAGCTATGAACCCATAATATACTAAGTTTATAGTCATCAACTTGACACAATCTAGAGTTATCTGGGATGAGGAAACCTCAACTGAAGAACTGCCACAATCAGATTCACCTGTGGACATATCTGTGGGTATTGTTTGGTGGCCAACTGGTGCAGCAGGTTCCAGTCCACTGTGGGCAACACCATTCCCTGGGTAAGTGGTTTCTGCATGAGAAAGCTATCTGAGCAAAGACCAGTGAGTGACCTGTTTTATCACATCAACAGAAATGAAACTAGAACATACCTTCAAATGCAAACTTGGAGAAGTACAGGGAATAATGATTTGGAGAACACGTGGGGAAGGAACAGATGTAGATTCCTGGATTTCTGTCCAGTACATTACCTTCAAAGTCAACAGTGCCATCTCCATTGATGTCAGCCTCCTGTACCACCTCAGAAATTTCCCGAGGTGTGAGCTTCTCCCCCAGCAACCTCTGCATGGCCTGCTGTAGCTCTGCCAGTGTGATCTCCCCATCTCCATTGGTATCAAACTAAACAGAAGCAATGGGGCTAGATCAGTTTCAGTTGTGACTACAGCCTCAGGGAAGGTCACTACTGGAAGGGGTTCCAGGGCACTCACTAGAGGTCAGGAGCCAAGCTAAGTACTAAGGACATGTCGTCAACTTGAATGTTGGTGCCTCAAGGATAGGATAGGACTTCTTTTAAATTTGCATCTATATTATTTTTAATATCTTTGTTGGGATGTAGCTGATATACAAAGAGCTATGTATGTACAAAGCACACAACTGGATGAGTTTAGACATATACATGGATTCATGGAATCATCACAACCACTGTGACAGATATCCATCACAGTCAGGAGCTTCCTGGTTCTTCTTAGCTTTTGTTTGTTTTTCATGTCTTTAAACAAATTATTACATTTGTTAGTTATTTGTTTGTGTGTGGGTACATGTGTGGGCACATGCATGCCATGGTACACCTATGAAGGTCAGAGGATAATTTGCAGGAGTTTTTTCTCTCCTTCCACTATGTGAGTCCTGGGGATTGAACTCAGATCATCAGGTTTGGCAGTGCCTTTACCCACTGAGCTATCTTACTTACCCTATGTTTTTATTATTATCAATTATCAACATATTTTATGTTATTATGACTATATTATTATAAATATTTGGTAGAATATTTTATTTATTCTTGACAATTCTATTCATCCATTAAAATTTTTTTAATTATGACATTAGCAAGAAGATATATAATACTAGAAACAATTGTGTTAACAAAATAAGCCAGATGCAAAAAGACAAAAATCAGATGTTCTCTCTCATACAAGCAACATAGATTTAAATTTGAGTATGTATGTACATGCATGTGTATGTCATGATACTAGAATGCAGACAATGAGAGGAGAAGAATTTTTAAGGAAGGAGAAAAGAGGGAAGCAAATAACAGAATACATGTGACATGATAGTCAAAGAAGGACCAAGGCCTTGCACACACTAAAACAGTGTTCTACTGCAAAACCACACTCCCAGTTCCTCACTGTGGGGTCCTAGGAGGGTGCTTTGCCACTGAGCCACTCCTCAACCCCTGGATGGGGGACTCTAGGCAGATGTTCTACCACTGAGCCATGCCACTAGATCCTGGAGACCTTTTCTGTTTCTTGTTATGGTCAGCAGTTAGACTTGCCTCCCTTCCACAAACATTCTTGTCCTACAGCCTCTGTAATATAAGTTTCCTTCCCCAGAATGACGCTGTCCTTCTGGACATAACAAACTTATAGATTCTTCCTTCCTATTGCAGGAACTAAGAGTAACTAAATAGTCAGAAGCTTCCTGGTTCTTCTTAGCTTTTGTTTGTTTTCCATGTCTTCAAACAAATTATTTCATTTGTTAGTTGTTTGTGGGTGGGTACGTGTGTAGGCATATGCATGCCATGGTGCACCTGTGAAGGTCAGAGGATAATTTGCTTCAGAATTTACCTTGGGACCATGGGGTATTTATTGGATATCATTTGCAATCCTAGATCCTTGGTTTCTTCATATGTATGATGGGAATAAGTGTGTGCTTACTCCTAATATTGTATATAAGGGTTGTATAAGATGAATGAATATTGCCAAATGTTTGGAATATATGCTTCTCCTTCCCTTTGTATCTAATCTCAACTAGTTGATTTTAGTGGGCACTGTCCATGATATGGACTAATAAAACTATCCCCTTGAGGTCTCCCGCACCCCTCTCAGCATTATGGAGTTATTAACTCACCTCCTTGAAGGCATCTCTCATCTCCTGGACACCAATCATCCCTGCTGTCTCTGCAAGCAGTTTGGGGGTCATCAGCTCCACAAAGTCTTCAAAGTCTACACGGCCACCAACTGAGGAAGAAAGAGCATGGTTAGCAAGGATTCCATAGGCTCTGAGCTTCTATTCCTGCACTTTTCCATTTAAGTCAGAATAGGTCAGCTGCCATCTTCCTGCATGCTAAAGGTTTTCTTTGAGTCTCTTCTTCTTCTATTATGATATGGAATTCAATCTTGTTAACTCACATCCATGCCTAGGAGTCAATGTAATTGTGGATTCAATCACAGAATCAACTTAGGTTTCCATTTAACGATGCATTGCTGAACAGTGATACTCAGTAACACTGGATCCAAGTCCAGATGTGTATTCAATATCCATCAAGCTACTCTACTGATAATAACCTACATAAGGTAAGGGCTCATTGGGGAGTATGACTTTTCCAACAGTGGCATACTTTCTACAACATGATGAATAAGTAAGCCATGATCATATCTCTACTTGATAGACAGGGAAACTGAAAACCAAGAATATTCCAGAAATATTCCACTATTCAAAATGGCCACAAGGAGTAAATAATAAAAGACAGACTCATGGGCCAGGGAGATGGCTTATCAGGTAAAAAGCATTTGCTGTCCAGTTTGATGACATTGAGTTTGATTCCCCAGGACTCACATGGTGAAAGGAGAGCACTGATTCTAGCAAATCGTCCTCTGACTACCACACAGACACTGTAGTATTCACATGCACCCCCTCTTCCACCAACACACAAAATATATAAATGCAATTTGAAATTTTTAAGTGGGAAGCTGGGCAAGCTCCTGCAGAGGACCTGAGTTTATTTTTCAGAACCCACACGGTAGTAACTCCAGTTTCAGGGAATCTGATGCCCTCTTCAAGCTTCTGCAGGTGCCAGGCACATACTTGGTGCACAAACTTAAATATAGGCAAAACATTCGTAGACATGATATTTTTAATCTTTAACATTTTTAGAATGTTAAAATGTGCAACTAGTATCTAGATTCATCTTGAAAATCCTCTCTAACCACTTCAAACGCAGCACAGTCAAAGCTGCTGTCTGGCAGGCAGCTCTTTCCTCTTAACCACCTTCCTATTTAAAGTGCTACTCTCAACCTGAACACCTTTCTCACTCCTACCCTGTCCCAACTCTGGGCGTGTCCCCGACCCCAGCCCTCACGGTTCATGCGGATTTGTTGGCCCAACTCAGTCAACTCCATCTCCGTAGGCATGTAACCCATCGTCCTCATGAGATTGCCCAAATCCTTGTAAGAGATGAACCCATCTCGGTCCTTGTCAAATTCAAGAAATGCTTCCCGGAGCTCTAAAAATGAAGAAAGAAGAGCGAGTTGTAGAGCAACCTGAAACAGTCAGTGGAGAAGACCGGTATCTCTTGACATTATCAGTAAGACACAACTAGAGATTAAATGTATTCTACGAAGAAACTTCAGATACAGAATACAGTTTCTTCACAGAATACATTTAATCTAATAAATGACTCATTTTTGAAAAAGCAGGGGTTTATAAAATGTGCTAGTGAGGTAACCTCTGAGAGCACTGAAGTCCTCAGAGTCTTGAGTGAAGTTGCAAGGGATCTCAAAACCAACCAAAAGGGGGAAAAAAACGCAACGTTTTTTTAAATCACTCTAAAACATCATTTCTGAGTTTCTCAGACCCATGCAAATGAGACAGATACCCCATTGATACTCGGGAAACAGAGCCTAAACTGACCAAGAATGAGCTGTGCAAATTACATTTAGCAGGGAGAGGGAGGAAAGGAATATTCACATGAAAGAATTAACACAAAAATGCAGGAAAGGGGAGATGTAGATGGCTAACATGGAAGGACATTTGAGCAAGGAGTTACCATCAATCTCATCCTGTCCCAGTGGCCTCTCCTGAAAGGAACACAAAAAGAAGAGATTGGAGAAGTTCCACTTCCCCAAACAAGCCCATTGTTCTATAAAGCTTTCTAGTCCTTCACACTCTTCCTCTAACTTTCTTCTTTCTTCTTCCTCCTTTCATCTCCACCTCCCATCCCCGGCTCTTCTCTGATGAGCCTTTTCTCCCATCCCCTCCCCTTTCCTGTCTCCCATCCTTGCATCTTAATCTCTGTCTGTCCTAAACATAAAAGAGTTGGAACCTCTTCTCTAGATGAAAAAAATATGTCTCATCTACTGTGTTCAGAGGGATGTCTGTGTCAAGCTCTTTCATTGTATTTAAACCTCAGAACCATGTCAGTGAAGTAAACTCAAATATTCTCATCTTACCCATGAGAAGCTGAAAAACAGAGAGATTAATGAGCCTACCAATGGTCACACAGTTTATAAATAAAATATCCCCCTCCAAGGGAGAGATAAATCAGTTAGTCCTGCTTTCCTTTTATTTGTTTGACTATTTATTTAATCATTTTGAAATGCAAGCACTTTCCAAGTACTTGTGAGGTATCAGAGGACAATTTGAGGCAGTTAGTTCTTTCCTTTCTCCATCCTAGGGATAGAACTCAGGTCTTTGAACTTAGCAACAGGTGTGTTTACCTGCTGAGCATTCTCACTGGCCTTAATTGAACTATTCTATTATTTTTTTATTTATTTACTGAGACAGTCTCATGTAGCCCAGACTAGCAGCCAAAAATGACTCTGAACTTTAGATCCTCATACCTTCATCTCCCAGGCACTGTGGTTACAGGAACTTCCTACCACACCCCCTTTTTATGGAGCTTGGAACTGAACCCAGGGCCTCATACGTGCAAGATAAACTCTACCAGCTAAGATACATACTCAGTCACTTCATCCTTCTAAAAAATGAATTTTTGTTAACAAAGAAACAGGTTTACACTGTGATGTTGTCATGCATCTGTCTCACCGACCTTTGCTGTCTTTGGCACCACACCACCTCTAGCACATGTTCCTTTCTTTCCAGTCCCATTTCTCCCCTGAAGTAACACCCTCTTCTGCTTTTATGACACACATACTCCTTTGAGATCACTCAGAGATCAGACACAGGTCTCCTGACTCCCATGCCCAATTCTTTCTGCTACATCCCACTGACTCCAGCACCTCCATCCTCATTCCCAGGAACCATCCCCTTGTGTGAGACCTGTGTTCAGCGTGGTTCATGAATATTCAGTATCAGTCTCACATCTGGGAATTGCTGCTCACTGTTCTCTACCTGAGGGTAAGCTTGGTTAACAGGCATAGTGCCTGGGAATTTACTCCTTATCAACCTTATAATTGGAGACCTCCTCACTTTGGATTCTTCTTCTTTTCTTCCCATGAAAGCTCTTACCTTCCCTCAGCTCTCTTCCCTCTCCCTTCCCCTATCTTCCCTTCACTTCCTTTCTCCTGTTTTCTCTTCCCTGCCCTGTCTTGCCCCACCTTGACCCATGTCCCCTCCCCTTCTCTTCCCTTCCATCTTCTCCCCTCCCTTTCTACCTTCTCCTTTCTTTTCTTCCTCCTTCTGGTGATTTTAAATAAAGAATATGTTCCTCCGAATCAAACAGGACTAAATACGTGGAGCACTGAACTGAGCTCCCAAAGTGCAGTCAAAGAGAGCGAGGAGCAAAGGGGTTAAGACCATGATGGAGAAACCCACTGAAACAGTTTACCTGAGCTAATGGGAGCTCACCAATTCTGGTCTGACAGTGGGTGAACCAGCGTAGGACAGATTAGATCCTCTGAATGTGGGTGACAATTGTATGGCTGAGGTAGACTGTGGGGCCACTGGCAGTGAGATCAGGATTTATCCCTACTATTTGTACCAGTTTTTGGAATCCATTCTCTTTGGAGGGATACTTTACTCACCCTGATATAGTGGGGAGGGCCTTGGTATTGCCTTAAAGCATGGTATTAGACTTTGCTGACTTCCCATGGGAAGCCTTACCCTTTCTGTGGATAGGGGTAGGGAGAGGGGAAGGTAGAGGGAGCCAGAAGAGGGAGGGAGTGGGAACTGGGATTGGTATGTAAAACGAGAAAAGGTAGTTTTTTTAATAAATAAATTTTAAAATTAAAGAAATTTAAGTAAATAAATAAACAGATAGATCCATAAATTGTGCCGCTGATTAACTGTATAGACTTGAAGCAAAATACTTCATGATTTAGTAGTCTCAATTTGCTCCCTTGTAAAACAGGAATGAAATCATACCCAACCTCATGTGTTATTCTGAGGACTGAATGCCACCAAGCCTTTTGCACAGGACTAGGCACACAGCAAGACTCAATAAGCAGTAGTTATTTTTAAAACCATCATCAGCATCATCAGCAACATCACTATACTCATCATCATCAGAAGCAGCACCACCACCATGCTATCACCATTGTCATCACCATCATCACTACCATCACCATCAACATTGTCATCACCACCACCAGCAGCAGCACCATTATCATCACTGTATGATTTATAAAACAATGATGTTATCAAGAAAGGCTCCCTCCAATCCCTTTTACATTCCTCTCACTCCACCATCCTGCTTTGCTCCTAACGTCTGATTGCTGATCTTTGTGCTCGTACAGTGCTACTTGAACTCAGTTCATGCTCTCTCCACCTGCTTCCATCGTTGCTCAGCATTTGCACACCAGTTTTTCCCATGCCCCAGATTCCTTTGCTCTTCCTGTCACCTCACCCGCTGCTTCTCAGCAATGCCTTTCCTCAAGAAGATGCAGGCAGGGCCCATGGGAAACTGCATGGGGGCAGGTAGAGTTCACCAAGCTCTGATGTCAAGATGGCCCCTCCTTCCTCCTCCCCTGCAGCAGGAAGCCCAGTTCCTGATTGCTTCAATCCTTTTCCAACTCTTCTTGCCCTTCTTGGGCTCTCCTCAGTTCCTGTGACAGATCTGTGACAGCTCATGGGAAATCTCTAATCAGACAGTAGAGGGATAGGAGCTCTTCCTACCTCCCCATCTGGCTGGAGTGAGATGGGAGGGGAAAGCCAGTGTGGGCCTCTGAAACTCTTTTATCCCCAGAATGGAATTAGACAGTACATTTTGAAATGGGGATTAAAGTGAAGCCTCTACTCATTTGCTGTTCCAACAAGCATTTTGAACATTCAGCTAAGCCTGACCTTTGGTGAGTGAAAGTTGGAAAGGATGAATGTGGTAGTTCATAAATCAGTCATATGCTCAAAGGAGCAGGATGCAAGACCCCGTGATACCGGGTCATATAGGCCTTAAAGGAACATATTGTTGCTGTGCTAAATAGGTTGAAAAACTGCCTTCTAAATATTTAGTGCTACAAATGACTTTGACTAGAAAAACCTTGGCAGTTGTTAATGCAGAGACAAGAGCTGGTCAGAGTACTGAGAATAAATGTCTGCTGAGTGTCCAGCTCTAACTGGGACATTGCTACCAACCCCTTCCTGAAAGCTCAGGAAACATTGTGCAGTGGGGATGAAAAAAGTAAGCACCAAAGGATGTAGTAAAGTACTGAGAAATATTGTCTTCTGGATGCGGCATGTTCATTGCACTCATGCACTGACTGCACCTATGGTTACTTGCAACAGATCAGTTAGCCACGGATTTTCAGAGAGAGGTATCATGCAGTGTGGATACACTCAATAAATATTGTATACATGTGAGAAATTGCCAGCCAAAGACTATATAAAAATAAAAAGGAACCACTTGATATGAGGTATTGTGTGATCCTAAGAAAACATGAATACATGTCTATTCTTCCTAAGATAAGGCACAAGCAGTCAACCAAAGAAAGGATTTCACCAAGCCTGACTCAGTGAACCAATGAGTTTATTGGGGTTTCCTACAGGGATATAAATGGTGAATTATCACCCAGATGCAGCTGCATCACAAAAAAGTCCATCTCAGCATGGGTAATGATTTATGAATGCCACATACTGGAAAATCCCTACACAATTTGTATATACTTCCACTGAAGAGTACTCTCTGGTGGTTTGAAAGAAAATAGCCCCCAAAGGGAATGGCACCATTAGGAGTTGTGGCCATGTTTGAGTAGGTATGGTCTTATTGCAGGAAGTGTGTCACTGTGGAAGCACACATATGCTCAAGTCATGTCCAAAGAGACTGACCATTTCCTGCTGCCTGCAAGTTGGTGGACTCTCAGCTACTTCTCCAGCACCATGCCCCACCATGATGATAATGGACTGAACCTCTAAATTGTAAGCAAGCCAACACAATTAAATGTTACCTTTATAAGAGTTGCCATGGTCATAGTGTCTCTTCACAGAAACAGAAACATTGACTAAGACAAAAGTTGGTACCAGGGACTAGGATAATGCTGTGATAGAACTGTTTTTGTTTGGAGGAATTTGAACTTTGGTACTTTGGGTTAGGAAAGTAGTAGAATGCTTTAAGTGCTGATTAGAGGGCCATACCAGTAGAAGCAAGACAATGGTGCTGAATGTGATTTGATGAGCTGGGGATGGGGCGGGGGCTGGCTCAAGAGGTTTCAGAGGAAAAGAATATCCATATATGGCCTAGAGATCATTCTTGTGATATTTTGGTGAAGAAAGCAGCTGCTTTTTGCCCCTGTCCAAACAGTGTATGAAGCTAAAGTGAAATGAATTAGTTCCATTGGCAGAGGAAATCTCAAAATGGTCTAGAATAGACTCTGTCAATGTGGTTACTAGTATTCATGCTTATAAAGATGTGTAATGGAAAGGAACAAGCTGAGAGAAAAGGGAGAACCATGAAGTGGAATGGAGCTAAGTTCTGTGTTCAAGGAGATAAACAGATTAAGAAATGGAATAAAGGGAAGGGTGACCTAGGGCAAGAGGTCACCTAGCTAAATTTCCGACCTGTGAAAAGGAATTAAAGAAACAATTAGACCAGGATGTGATAATGTATACCTTTAATCCCAGCACTCCAGAGAGAAGAATATCAGATGTCCACCTCTGGCTGGCATCAGCAAGCCCATAAATAGGTACATGTTACCATGCACACATGTGAACACATTTTTTTTTTTTTTGCCTGACGCAGCATCCATCACTTTTATGATTTTCCTGAATTTGATCATAGGCAACGATCAAAACTACAAAAGCAACTACTCATACCCTTCAAAAGGTCAAGGTCACAGAGTGAAGGGAAGATTGAGAACCTCACTGACCTTGGTGGAGGCCAAGATGCTGACAGTGCAGCACAGGACTCTGAGCCCAGACCCTTTTACCCCAGATGTCAGTATTGTGACAAGTGATAATTCACTAGTCATTTTTGGTATTCCTTGCCTCATGTGTACATTCTAGCAACCTCTCCCTTCATAGTCTCATTGCCTGGTACCTCCTTAATCAAGAATTTGCACTTGGCATTGTCCCTTTGGAAGATCTGTCAGGATGTTTTGAGGATATGGCAATCAACTTGCTAAGGTGTAAACTGGAAAACAATAAAAGAAGTCCTGGGTGAAGGGAAAGTGGTTCAGTCATTAGAGACAATCCACCCTGCAACTGGAAAAGGCTAAATTCATTCTTAAGGTGTCTCTGTGACTTCTTTCCACAGACCCACAAGAACCCATATCTGTGTCACAATAATATCATTTTAATTTGTTCACATCTGCAAACTCTGAATTTCCTTTTAATGTCATATCTACAAGCACATGAGGTATGGCATCGACTTTTGGGGAGAAATAAACAATTCAACTCATAGCAGTTTTTAACATTTAATGAGCCATGAGCCATCAAGAAAAGTGAAGTCACATTGTTTTCAGGAAAATGGACAAACCTGGAGCCCATCACATTAAGCAAAATAACACAGCCTCAAAAAGACAAGTATAATGGTTTCCCTCCTAAGTGTAATAGCTATCTCACTATCTGCCTAGTATCTTTCTTCTGTCATCTATTTATCATCTATCTTAACCATCTACCTTGTATCTATCTGCTAATTATCTTATCTATATACCTTGTATCTACCATCTATCTATCACCTATCTACCTATTTTACTTATCTTTCTCTATGTATTACATATGTTGTAAAAGTAGAAGGGGGACAATTTGGTGGAAAGAAAGGAGTCTAAAGAAATGAAGGACAAGAAAGAAATTAGGAGAGAAAAAAGACAAACATGGCATGTCTTCTTTTATATGCAAAATTTAGGTTAAAACATATATTTATGTACACATACCTATGACACAAGAGCAGGAGGGGAGTATTTGGAGGGAGGAAGAAGACACACATGAGAAAAAAGTGGGGCCAAATGGAGGTAATGAGGAACAAGTATTAACAAAGTACAATTACCTATGTCTATAAAAAGCCATGATGAACCCAATTTTCTTATATGCCATCTAAAAGTAATAAATTTTTAATTAAAAGAAACAAACATTGGCTTGGGGAAACAAATAATGAGTACTGCCTCTTGAAAATTTTGCCTTTACCAGAGCTGGTCTTAGGGTCTTAGGACTTCATTAATGAGCCTCCCAGGACACAGACACAATTATCTACTCCACAGATGATGAAAGTGAGGCTCACATGTGAAAGGACTTGCCTGTGCTCTTACAATGAGTAAACTGTGGGACCAAGACCCAAATCAGATACAGAGTCATCAAGCTTGACCTCGGACTTACAGGTGGGAGGGAGACAGAAAGGAGAAGAGGCAGGCAAACAGAAAGGAGGCCTGAGGCAGCAGATAAGACAGTCAAGGAAGGTATCCATCTAAAACAGACTGAAGGGAAGATGTTGAGGGAGAAAAATATAGAAAGCAAGTCACACGGCATGTCAGGGAATGAAGAATAAAGGATACATCACGGGTGACACAGAATACAGCAGGGTGCTAAGGGACTAAGAAATGCATCATCAATCTGTGGTGTGGGAGAATTGTCTGTATTCTGTCAATCATGTTTTAAATAAAACGCTTATTGGCCAGGCAGGAGGTGTAGGCGGGAAAGCCAGACAGGAAGTGGAAATGATGCAAGGAGAGCAGGAGAATTCTGGGAAGGAGGAAGCTGATTCCTCCCACTCCTGCCCAGATCACCGAAGCAGCAGGATGTGAGCTGCCCCACTGAAAAAGGTACTGAGCCACATGGCTAAAATAGATCAGAAAAATGGGTTAATCAAGATGTGAAAGTTAGCCAGTAAGAAGCCTGACCTAACGAGCCAATCAGCATTATAACTTATAGAGATTTCAATGTGATTTTTCTCTGAGACTAAAGAGCTGGGGGGCCGGACAGGACAAAAACACAAACAAGCAGGCCCCTCATGTTACAAATCTGTTAGTCAAGCAGAAAGCATTTACAGAGTTTCTTGGCTCTGCAGAGATGGGCTATGATTTCAGTTGAGATCTCTCCTTTTACAGAGGCAAGCAATCTGACCGAAGTGTAAAATGAGCAGTTATGGATGAAGGAAGGAAACTTTTAAACAGCTTTGGTCTCAACCACTACATCCATTTTAGCCACATGGATGTTGGACATTGTGGCTCTGATGATCAAGGAGTCATGTTCCAGCTTCAGGGTCCCCTGAGGGATCTGAAGTTCATACTTGGCTACCTTTAGCTCTGGAGACCCATTTCCCTGAATGATGTCATCAAAAACACTCTCCAGGTCTCTAGAGACTGGCTCAGTTATGATGGCTAAGGCAAACTTAATTCTGTGAAGAGCGTAGTTGAAGGGAATAGAGAACAGTAAGGCCAGGTGGACACGTGGGCCCTGGTAGACCAGCATGCCCACAGTGCCCTGGAAGCTCGAGCTCTTCTTCACAAAGGAACAGCTGACGGTGGACTCTGGAGACAGCACAGGTGGTGGGTCCACTAGTACATGCCCACTCTGTAAGTAGTGCCTAGGAAAGAGAAATCACAGGTTTAAATTGTGTATAAATTGCTCTAAGAAGATGGCCTTGCTTGTTGGAGAACAGAACCTCTGCTATATACCATGCATGGTTCAAAGAAATTTATTTTCTCATTTATTTTTATCTTATTGCACAAGAATACCTACATTTTAATCTCAGCTCCACTGCCTAAGGGTTGTTCTCTCCCATCACCTATGTTTACTGTGTAAGTATTAGTTTATCTAATGATGTCAGTCTAGGAACAACTGTTCAGATCCAGAAAAGGAGTTAATGACTTAGTCTACATCAAATATTAGATCTCTCAGAATCCACATCATATTTCATTCTACGTTTTCTGTTTCTTCACATTGAGCCATCACTAAGGGCTTTCCTCCCACTTATTCAACAGGTTAAAGTCATTCTACTCCAGATTCTATGCATGTGGTTCCCACAGACATCGTAATCGGCACTCTTTCCCTGTGCTTTGCAACCCTGATTCACCCGTGCACCACTTAAGGGCTTCATATCAAGAAAACCAAGATCACTGCCTATGACTATAGGCAGCTGGGAGAAACTACATTCGTCTCTGCCACATGACATGGTGCCCACACTGGGGAGGGAGTATCCCACCATCAAGCCTTCCACGTAAATGAAACCCACGCAAGGACAAAAGGGCAGCAGGTTCTCAAAAGATAAAACCATTCTGGACTAGAATGCTGTACTCGCATACTCCGAGTAGCTGTGCTTACTTGCACAAGATCAGTCCACAGCCCCAAATGGGTTGGTGAGGGGCACAGTATCTCACACCCTGCATGAAGAGCTACTTACAAATTTAATAGCTTCTGGTGGAGAGAAAGTCTACTTTCTTTAAATAGACTCTTATGTCATCCCAGTAAGTCTACAGTCTGAGCTCCGGTGGATGACCTAACACCCACATATATGTGGGTAGCACCAGATGAACTCAGTGGGTTAATAAAAAAAAAAATGGACATGAAGTCTGGAAGGGAACCTGGGGGCATCTGGGAAGAATTGTAGGGGATTTGGGGGAGTAAATGTGATTGAAAGCTATATATATATATATATATATATATATATATATATTGGAGAACAGAACCTCTGGAGGCCTCTATAGACCATGCATGGTTCAAAGAAATTTATTTTCTCATTTATTTTATCTTATTGCACAAGAATACCTACATTTTAATCTCAGTGTGTATGTGTGTGTGTGTGTGTGTATACATACATAGATATAGATATATATATAGATATAGATATATAATTCTCAAAGAAAAAGTAAAAAAAAATACTACATTTTTAAAAGTAAGATTGATGGCTTGACAGTTAAGAGTATTTTCCACTCTTTCAGAGGACCCAGGTTCAATTCCCAGCACCCACACGGCAGCTCACAATCATCTGTAGTTCCAGTTCTAGGGGATCTGATGTCCTCTTCCAACCTTACTGGCACTGCAGACACAATGCACATGCATATGTGCAGGGCAAAATATTTATACACATAAGTTAAACAAATAATTTCTTAAAGCAAGAGCTTTGCAAACTTATGTAAGCATGCTATTAGCACACATACTGTAAAAGGGAAGCTAAGACTTAAACTGGCTACATCTATCTGATCTGCCATCATACACTGAGCCTTGTCTCTGAGCTGGAAGCCCCTGCACAAATGCCCTATGATCACAGATGGGGCATGGGGATGATTAGGACAAGACTTGGGAGAACAAGACAAGGATGAGACTTACAAAGGCTCCTTGAATATTATGTCCGTGTTGTTGGATATCTTAATCTCCACAGTCCGAGAGCTTTGAACATTCCGCACTGTGTATCCCAAGAAGTCCTCCTTATTCATCCTTAGCAAGTTGCCAGTTTTCCTGAGAGTGGAATAAAAAGCAGCTCTGAATATCATCTGACAGACATTTCTAGATCCAGGGGCAGTGACTGGGGACTCAATGTCAGTTGTGAAGGGCTGTGATGGGGTGGTCATTCAGTGTATACTCTTTGCTTATTAGAAAATGCTCAGCCATTTGGCCTCCAAGGAGGCCCTAAAAGCCATAGCAACCTAGTCCACTCTGCTTTGTGCTTCAGAAAGCCACTCACTCCAGCACTATTCACTGCCTATCTTCTCCCCTTCACAGATGCAAGCTCTGGTGGTAAGAAACAGTTTCTGTCATGCCATAAATTTTATTTTTAGTGCAGAGGATGGAGCCCAGAGTCTCATACAAATTAAACAAGTACCCTACCACTAAGCTAAACCTGACCCCTCACTAGCGGATTCTAGGCAGGGGCTCTACCACTGAGCCACGCCCCCAGCCCCTCACTGGAGGATTCTAGGAAAGGGCTCTACCACTGAGCCACACCCCCAGCCCCTCACTGGGGGATTCTAGGCAGGGGCTCTACCACTGGGCCATGCCCCCAGTCCTTCACTGGGGGATTCTAGGCAGGGGCTCTACCACTGAGCCACACCCCCAGCCCCTTACTGAAGGATTTTAGGCAGGGACTCTACCCTAGAGTCACACCACCAGGCCCTCATAGGAAGAGTTCTAGGTAGGAGCTCAATTTCATCTACACCCACAATCCTCCCACAAGATGTACTGAAAGTTAGTTCTGCTACAGATATTCCTTAGCGCCAACTCAGAGATCAGGGCAATTACAGCTGCTGATATAGGCTGATACTCACCCAGCCACTTTTCTTATCTCACTGAGGATATTATCCCTGTTTATCCGAACATTCTCCCTAGACACCCTCAGCAAATCTGCCACAAGGTCTGGTGTGTAGAAGTCAGATAGTTTCATTGTCTCATATTTTTTTCTCCATGTGTCAATGTCATCTGAAATAGAACCAAACCAAGAAAAAGATTTGTCAAGTTAGGATCATGCTCATTTATGTAAGAAGTTTGTAAACTACTTTTGTGGCCCAAATCCAGCTGGCACACTTGGCTTTATAAATAAAGAGGTGTTGGTATATTGCTTTATAAAGTGAACCACTGTTTTTACCATCTATCCTCCGTACCTGAACAAAGAAGAAAAATGCCTCCCTTTCCATATTAATATGTATTGGTCGGAATGATAGCTAATGTAAGTGACTAATAAATATTTGTTAAAAGAATAAAAAGAGAAGGCTGGAGAGATAGCTCAGCAATTAGGAGTAATAACTGCTCTTCCAGAGGAAATGAGCTCAATTCCTACCACCCACTTGGTGGCTCACACCTGTAACTTCAGTTCCAGAAGATCTGATGACCTCTTCTGGCTTCCTTGGGCACCAGGCATGCACATGGTGCGTATGCAGAAAAAAATTTTACACATAAGATAAAAATAAAACATCTTTTCAAAAAATTAAAAGAAGCAAGAGAGTACATACACTAGATGAGTATGGTAGTGCATACATATCATAGTAACACTTGGAGACCAAAGCAGGAAGATTATGAGTTTGAGCTAATGCTAAACTACACGGTGAGACTCTGTCCTAGAAATAAATTTAATAGGGACCAGAGGAATAGCTAGGCAGAACTCATACTGCTCTTTCAAAGGACTAGAGTTCAGTACGCAGTACCCATGTCAGGTGATTCATAACCATCTGTAACTCCAGCTCCAAAAGATCCAGTATTTCTATCCTCCTTGGGCATCTGCACTCACGTGCACAGACAGGCAAACACACATACACATAACTAAAAAGAACAAAAATAATTTTTTTTTTTACTTTCACAACAAACATTTATTGTTGAGCTCATTTTTTTTCAGTTTGTATTTTTTTTTATTAATTTATGAAAGTTTCCACTTCCGCCCCTCTTCCCAATACCCTCCCACTGCCCCCACTCCCTCTCCTCCTCCCTCTCCAGTCCTAAGAGCAGTCAGGGTTTCCTGCCCTGTGGGAAGTTCGAGTTCCTCCCCTCTCCCTCCAGGACTAGGAAGGTGAGCATCCAAACAGACTAGGATCCCTTAAAACAAAACCAAGGCCAGTAGAAAGGAACAGGTTAAAGCAACTTGGAAGTTTGAAGGAAGGAAAGCCTGAGCTCAAAGCCAGCTTTGGCAATAATAGGGAGACACAATTTACAGAAAGAGAAAAGACAGGCTTTCTACTTTATCCCTCTAGGGAACCCCACTCCATAGGCAGCGTGGCAGAGAGCTCCAGGGACTCCAGTGTGCTAAGCAGCAGGGCTGAGACTGCCGAGCACAGTGCTACATGCTGAGACCCACCTAGGACTGTTCACCTATGACTGGATAATAAATGTGGAGTGCCCAGATGGAAGGAGCCAGACATCCAGCTAGGACATGAAAGTCCCAACAAAAGGAGGAAACAGACATAAATGTCGAAGAGAGAAATAGAAAGCAGGATGCCCTTTTGGAGGCCCCACGATGGACAGGATGAGTTTTAGATGTTGAAGTGTGGACTAGGCATCCCTAAAATATAGCACCATCCAGCCAGAATCCCATGGCTCCTTACCCTGCTCTTCCTCCCACACCTACCTCCACAGTTGTTCTTGTTGAACAGAGTAAAATGCATGACAACAGGTCCAGTTTCCCCTCTGAGGATGTAGCAGCTCGCTGGGGCTTTGGCCCATTCCTTCAGCTGCTCCTCTCTCACTTGAGGAAAAGGGATTCCATAGCGTTGGCAGTAGTCCGCTGTGGTCCTGACAGTCTGAGAAGGGGAGAACAGGGACCCTTGAGACACACTGGGACTTCAGCAAAAACCTCAGGAGGAGGCTGGAAAGTGCATGATTGTTTGGGGTTTGGTTTTGTACAGAAGACATCTCTCACTCACTGTGGGTCAATGAATAGTTTCTTCAAGGCTTGAGAATAACTTTAGGGGTCTCTATGAAGAACAGTGTACTCAGATGAGGGGACACCTACATATATTTGGAATTAGCTAATCTCATTTCCTCCCTGAGAGACTCTTTAACCTCTACCTCCAGAGGAGGGATGGATGGTGACAGACAAAGCCAGTTTCCATTACTGGCTAACTGAAATGGAAAGACAGCCATGCAAATGCTTTCAAATAGCCTAATGATTACCATGGAAGACAGCCAGTCCACTTTCCATTACTGTAACAAACACCCAAAACAATCAGCTTACAAAGAGAAAAGGTTGGTTTGGGATCAAGGCTTGGAGGTTCCAAGCCATGATCACTTGTCTACATGGTGAGAGTGAATGACAGAGCAAAACTGCTCACCTCACAAGGCAGATAGATAGCAGAAAGAGAAAGGACCATGCTGTCCTTTGAGAGCATGCACCCAGTACACTAGGGACTTCCCCCTAGGCCAGTGTTTCTCAACCCGTGGTTATCAACACTTTAGGGGTTGAATGACACTTTCACATGGGGTCACCTAAAATCATCAGAAAACACAGATATTTTACAATAAGATGCATAACTGTAGCAACATTACAGTTATAACCTAACAACAAAAATAATTTTGTGGTTGGGAATCACCACAGCATGAGGGACTGTATTAAAGGGTCACAGCACTGGGAAGGTAAAGAACCACTTCACTGGGTACATCTACTCAATGTTCTGACATTCCCCAATCACTACACCCTAACACCCTAAGGATCAAGTTCAAACACATGGAGCAAAAGTTCTTAACTTCTGGGGTACATTCCAGATCCAATTATTGCAGCCAGAAAAAAAAAAATTGTAAGTGTGAAATATAAATCTTTACCAACCAGCACTGAGGCTAAGCAGGGAAAGACATCTGCCACCAAGCTTGATGATCTAACTTTAATAAACACAAGTATACTTTTATATATCTGTATGTATTGCATAAGAGGTGCAAATGCATATTATTTAAGTGTGTATATTTTAAAGACAAGATATATAAACTTATATATGTACTTATTTTGTGTGCATGTGTATGCATGTGTGCACACATGCAGGTGTGTGCATGTATTGCTACAGTGTGTGTGTAGCATCAGAGGACAACTTATGAGATCCACCACATGGGTCTGGAGGATGGACCTCAGATTGGCAGCAAGCACCTTTATCTGCTGAGTCATCTTGCCTGTCAGCAAGGTTTTAAAATTATTATCATTATGCGTGTCTATGCATGATGTGGGGTGTACATGCCATAGTGCCCCAGACAACAATTGCCCAATGTCCACTCCCCAACCAGACCCTGCGTTCCTTCCTGCACAGCCCCATCTCTGCCCAGGTCAGCTCATCTCCTTCCCTCAAATACATAGGTTTCTTTTCAGTTACCTCTAGTGGATCTCCAGCACTGAAGTCAAACGAGAGGATGAGGTGAGCTTCACGAGCCGGAGGCAAAACAAGTGGGTAGGGACTGTTGATAGCCAAACCAGCATCCACCAGATGCAGAAACTCCCGGCTCTGCATGGCCTCATCTGTGATGTTACCTTAAATCAGGAAAAGACTTGTCTAATCTAAGGTCAGAATGTAGGGTATAGGAAGCAGTTTGAGCAAACAAAACTGTTGTCTCAGAGAGGTGAGTGGAGACCCATTCCAGTAGGGTTCACTTCTGCTGTTGTCTGGACATGGTTTGAGTGTGCTCCACAGAGACTCATGCCCTGGAAGACTGGTCTGCAGTGTGAAGTGCTGATGTGGAGGAACCTTTTAAAGGACAGATCGATTTGGAGGTGGAGGCATCAGCCATGGAAGGGATTTATGTTGCCGTAAATTATTAGTTCTGGAGAGAGCAAAGTATTTATACAATAAGGCCCATCCATCTGTGACTATGTCCCTTCTACATATGGCTTCTCCATTACATTATATTGCAACCAGGAACACCCAAACCAGAGGGTGAACAGATGGCGCCACCTCATCTTGGACTTTCATCTTCTGATGCTATGAGTTAAATAAAACCGTTTTCTTTATAAAGTACATGGCCTGGGGTATTTTGTTATAAACAATGAAAATAGAGTGATACAACTTCTCAAGGCAAGTATGGTGTTGACCAAGCTAAAGACATTGTGAAGCTTATCTTTCTAGGGAAATTACCTTCTCTCAAACTACAAAGGCATCAAGGCACAAGATGTTGGTGGTAGGCAGTCTCATCACGGAAGAGTGGTAAATGTTTGGGAATTGGCATAGTCTTGGAAGAAGTCATTCATAGAGCAAGATGACAGAAGTTTATAAAAGATATAAAGTGACCTAAGAGTATCCCACGGGTCAGTGTCTATTCTATCTGAATGATGGAGGTCAGATCATGAAAAGATAACCTATGGTGAATGTCTACATATTTTTAGAATCAGAGGAAAGCACCAATATTTCAGGGGCCTTACTATGCCTTCTATTGATACCAAAAAGACTATGTGTCTCTTGTTATGAACCACTACCATAGAGAGGCTCTGCCATACAGATCATTGAGCACCATGCCATCCACACCCCGACAGCTCCACGAAAGGGATGAGCTGAGATCACTGCATGGCCCTCACCCTTCATAGCTCATCACAGCCCATTAGAGATTAGGAAGGCAGAAAGGGGCGCATTCTCACCGTTTTTATAGAGGAAGTTGTAAACAGTTCCCCACTCCCACTTCCAACAACAAATTCCAGTTTTACTCAGAAAAGTAAAAGTGTCCCGGAGATGACCTAGATGCAGAAATGGAAAGTAGAAAGTAAGTATCATGGGATGGCATGGGTTGGCACTCCTCTAAGGTCCTATGGTGAAGCACTGACCTTCAATGTGACACAGGGTTTGAGTATGGAAGACTTACCTTATAGCAGATGGCAATGTCCCAGGTGCTTGGGTCCCCAATTGAATAAAGAGGAAAAAGTGAACTGAACTAAACACCAGCACCTCTCTCTTTCTCTCCCTCTGTTTTTCTCTCTGTATGTGTCTCTTTCTGTCTCTCACTCTCCATCTGTCTCTGTCTCTCTTTCCCTCTCTTTTCTCCCTCTTTCTCATTCTCTATGTCTCTCACTCCATCTCTGTCTCTCTCTCCATCTTGTTCTGTCTCCCTTTCTGTGTGTTTCATCTCTATCTCTTTCTGTCTCTATGTCTCTGTCTTTATTTCTCACTCTGTCTCTCTCTCTCTCTCTATCTCTGTGTCTCTTCTGTTTCTCTTTTTTCTCTCTCTTTCTCTGCTTCCTGATTGTGGGCAATGTGACCAGTTGCCTCATACTCCTTCTGCCATGGTGGACAGTATCTCCTTAAACTTTCTCTCCATATCTGTCTCTATATGTGTGTGTCTATCTCTATGTCTCTGTCTGTCTCTCTTTGTGTCTCTCTATGTCTTGCTCCCTGTCTCTCTTATATCTCTGTGTGTCTCTCTGTCTCTCTGTCTCTGCTTCCTGACTGTGAGGCAATGGGACCAGCTGCCTTATACTCCTTCTGCCATGGTGGACAGTATCTCCTTAAACAGTTTCTCTCTCACTCTCTGTCCCTGTTTCTCTGTCTCTCTCTGTGTCTCTGTGTGTCTCTCTCTGTCTCTATGTGTATCACTCTGTATGTGACTCTCCTCTCTCTTTTTTCTCTCTCTGCTCTCCTTTGTCTCTCCTCTCTCTCTCTCTCTCTCTCTCTCTCTCTCTCTCTCTCTCTCTCTGCCTTCTGACTGTAGGGCAATGTGACACTTTCTGATGGACAGTATCTCCTTCAACTCTGAGTCAAAATAACCCGCTCTAAGTTGCTTGTGTCAGATAATTTGTCACAGGAATAAGAAAATGTGACAGATACCAGTGGGGACAAGATAGGAGGAGGATGATAGTGCTGGCACTTACTCCCAATCCAGCTTCTCGGTCCATACATGGCACCCACAGGAAGCTCTTGTGTCCTCATGAAGCAGTACAACAGATATTCAAGAAACTGCTCCTTCTCCCTGGGAGAGACCTCATTCCAATTCTGGACTACCTCAGCCAGCCAGATGTACTTCTGTTCACCAAACACATCTGCCACAAGAAACGCAACTGATTACCCGCTTCAGGACAGACCTGTGCCATCTCCTGAAAGTCACTGCTTAGCCTACTCCATCTCATCTCCTGTGGTGACCTGAATGTGACTGTGCTGTAGAGCAGTTTCCTCTGAGATAAAACGTTACATCCTTCAGAGACACCTACGAAAGCTCAGGAAATAGGCAGCAGAGCTTACTTGCATACACAGTCACTTACAGGGAGGAGGGAGGAGAAAAGAGGGCCACATCTCCATGGTGAGCCACCTGGCTGTGTGTCAACCCTCTGCTTCCCTCACGCTCTCTAGTCCCTTAGCATCCACACAGTAGTTTGCAAATGTGAACTCATGTACAAACCTCTCTTAGCACCCAGAACCTGCTGCAGGGCCTGGAGCTTATCCTTGATGCTGGGGTCATTCTGATCTTTAAGAAAAGCCATCATTAAATCCAAGAGCACTTCATCCACCTGTGTCTCTGGTACTCCCACGTATGCCGCTGTTCTAGCCACTGCTCCAGCCGCTGCTCAGAGACAAAAGTAGCCTCCCATGAGAGTGTGGAGAGACCATCACTGCCTGTCCCCATAAAAGCCTCCTTGTCACCCCATTCCTGACACTGCTGTGTACACTCAACCCAGCTTCCATGTGTTTAACTTACAAAACTCCCACATGCAATTCACGAACCTAGATGTTCCTCCCAGGCCCACCTTGGCTGACAAATGGAAAGTACAGAACAGAAGCCCACCTCCCTTATTCCATGTAGCACAGAGGCATGAGTCCTCTTGATAAGGCTTCTTACCCTCCCTCATTAACTCTTTACAATTACTGGAAGAGTAAGGAACACACACACACACACACACACACACACTCATGCAAACATACACTTCTAGCTGTGGTTTCTCTGTCTCCCCAGGATCCTCAGTTGCCTCATCTGTCAAAAATCTCCTGTGTGGGGGTAGTGAGATAACTCCATCAATAAAACACTTGCTACTCGAGCATGAGGACCTGAGTTCAGATCCCCAACACCCACTTAAAAAGTCAGGCAAAGGGGCACACACCTATAATCAGCAATGATAGTGGAGATGGGAGCATCCTAGAGGTTTGTTGGCCAGTCAGTCTAGCCAATTAAGAAATTCCATGTTCACAGAAGGTAGAGAGTGATAGAAGATGGCACCAGACATCATCTTCTGGCTTCCACACACATGCACAGCACATGTACATACATCACACATGCACACAGCACAGGTGAGCAGACGAGACAAGAATAGCACTTCACAAGGTGACTATGAGCACAACCATAACATTCTGTATAATCTCTGGGTGGCTTGTTCAGCTTCTCATCCTTGTTCTCATCAGTGATTCAGAACACAGCAGGGTGCTTACCTCCCATATTCAAATGTCCCTGCTTCAGTTTTGCTCTCAGGTCTGCTAACATGTCTGCAAGAAAGTAAAAAAAAAAAAAAAAAAAAATGCAGAATGTTTATCTGTACAACGCAGTCACTGGCTATGATGTTGAGTATATTTTTTTTCAGTTTTCGAAGACAGGGTCTCATATTGTCCAGATTGGTCTCAAATTCCCTTCATAGCTGAAGATGACCTAGAACTCCTGATCCTCCTGCCTCCACCTCCCAAGTGCTGGGATCACAGGCATGCACTACCAGTCCTGGTATTGAGTGTGTCCAAGGCAAGTTTCTCTAGGGCTATTCCTTTATAGTATTGGCCACAGCAGGCGGGAACTTTGCTGATAATGACTCTCAAGACCTAACTTCATGCCTCCCTTCCAACTCTACCTCCAGTGAACCCATATTGGTAACTTGAAATTGGATGGGACAATACATATCACTATAAAGCAAGGCTTCTTCACCAGAGAGCAAGCCTAGTATACCCACTAAGGAAATGAAACATGACCCCACCTCCAACTTTAGCCTCTAAGTTATTTAAAAGTCATCTCCAAAAGGCTGGAGTGGGTACTTCTGTCTCAGTTGTAGGAGGTATAGTGTCACAGAGCATTTGGTTGGCCAGAGCATATTGACATACTGGTCAGAGCTGTGACATGACACCAGGCACAGATTGCCATTCATTCCTACATCAGTGCTCAATTGACAGTGAGAGTACACAAGTAACTCAGCATTCTTAAGACTCCATGGCTCTCAAAAAAATTAAAGTTGAAGGTTGGGAAGATGATTCAGTGGTTAAGAGTACTGCCAGCCAATCCATAGGACCCAGGCCCAATATCAAATACACACATGACATTTCTCAACCATGTATAACTCCAGTTCCAGGGAATCCAATGCCCTCATCTAGCCTCTGCAGTCAACAGGCACATAGATATACACGCAGACAAAACATCCATGTACACAAAATAATCAAAATGCTAAGATAGGGTCTCTCTATGTAGTCCTGGTTGCCCTGAAACTCTCTATGGAAACCAGACTGGCCTCCAACTCACAGAGAACTCCTACCTCTGCCTCCCAAATGCTGGGATTAAAGTGTTACCACCAAGCCTGGCAAAAATAAACAAAATTTTAAATTCAGGTGATTTTAGCATCCAGTTCTTTGGGTTGTGATAAGGATAATATAATAGAACAGATAATAACTGCTATAGTTACCCAGTGCTTTTACCTACCAGGCTCCATCCTTAGTACTTTAGAGGAATTCACTCTCTAAATCCTTACAACTACTTTTATCATCATCTATGTGGTGTAGATAGAGCAACGAAGATGCAGAGGAGGTGGGAAAAAGAGGTCACATGTAACTAAGCACCACTGTTGCCAAGACAGCCCACACCCAGCCACTCTGCAGTAAGCCTGGATGCCCCAGTGGTGGCTAGCATTAGGAAATATAATTATCAGCACAATGACAGTAGTCACCTCTTCTGTTACATGAAGAAAACTGAAAATTAGTTTCTTCACATAAGATTATCTCTAGGCTTTGACCCCTGGGTCCCCCTCAAATACTCACCACAAATAAATTTCTTAATTTCTTCCATATCAGCTAGAGCACTTCCCCATAAACCTGGAAAGAAAAGGGAAATAAAACTAAGACTTCCTGTAATTAAAGTGAATCAATAGGGTTCCATTACATGTAAATCCTGTTGCCTATAATCGACAGAAGCAGAATGGGAATGTGGAGAACAGCTGAGGGGCTAGCAGTTCTAGTGTCAGACAATGACAGCTTAAGTGTGGGTGTTCCTGTTGGTGGGAAGGAAGGGGTATAAATGGATTCTAAAAACCTGGAAATGTAATGTAGATGATATATATCCAGATTAGAAATATATAAAATGCAGAGATGACATCAAAAGTCCCTAATTCAGTGACTAGATGGTTGGAAGGGCCATTTTCAGTGGAGGATGAAGTGAAGTAAAACAACAATTTCGGCTTTGTTTTCTATACAGAAGAAGGCATCCATGATGGACTTCACAGTATCTCAAAATTATATGCTGGCCAGACATGGTGGTGCACACCTATAATTCTAGCATTTGGGAGATGTTGCAAGGAGAGACCACTTGTTCGTCCCGGCCACCCAGAACTGAAATAATCACACAGAAACTGTATTAATTAAATCACTGACTGGCCCATTAGCTCTAGCTTCTTATTGGATAACTCTTACATCTTAATTTAACCCATTTCTATTAATCTGTGTATCAACACGAGGTTGTGGCCTACCAGCAAAGTTCTAGCACGTCTATCAGCAGTGGATCCATGGCGGCCCCTGACTCTGCCCTTCTTTCTCCCAATATTCAGTTCTGTCTTCCTACCTACCTAAATTCTGCCCTATCAACAGGCCAAAGCAGTTTCTTCATTCATTTATGGTAATCACAGCACACAGAGGGGACTCCCACATCAGGGAGATGGATGCAGGAGAAGTAAGAATTCAAGACGAGCCTCAGCCACATAGTTCAAGGACAAAATGGGATACATGAGACTCAATTTAAAACAACAACAAAAATGACTTACTGAATAAATGGAGATTTAACTATCTTTGAATTTCTACCATACTCTGGGCACAGTGTTGAAGGCTTCATTTGTGAGGTCACATATAAATCCCATACCCGCATTCTAAATCTGTTTATCATGTAACCTTGGATTCAGGTGCCTCCTGGACCATTTAGAAAGCAATCAGGTATCTATCTGTCAAGCAAGGGAGTCCCTGGGAGATGCTGAAGGCCTTCCTCTGGAAACCCCAAGATCTCTCCTTTTCTCCTAGCAATGAAGAAGCCTAGCAGAGCTAGGTACTCAGAGAGGTCATTCTTGCCCAACATCTACTCCCCATCTCCACTGAATTCCATCCGAGCCCAATACTGACCTCTCAGGTAATTCAAGTCTCTCTCAGGCTCAGATCTAACCAATTTTCCATTCTTAAATCTGCTTCCAAACTGTGTGATGGGGACATAAGCCCCAAGTGCAGGGTAGCCAGCATGATGAGGGGTGAACTCGAACCAGGATTCTGGGGAGGCAAAACAAGAGTAAACTATAAGCTCTGAGCCTGGAACATAGGTGCTGGGGGAAGGGATTCCATATAGAAAGGAATGCCAACCAAGAGACTAGAGATGGGCTGGCTGATCTCAAATATTTGGGGATCTCTTCCCCATGCCTCTGAAAGCCTATTCAGATGGACACAATTCATTATTTCAAAAACCCTGTGTCCATTACTTCCCCAAATATGAGCCTCATACCCGTACCTTTCTCTTCAAATTCATCACAGATGCAATGTCAGAATGTGGGGGTAACAGAAATTCCAGACGCACTATGATATGAGGGTTATCTAGGACACTGTGGACTGAGTGACTACTTATTATAAGGATAAAAATCACACAATCATGTTTGTTCTAGAAATTTCTATCAAGTAGGCATGGAAGGCACAGATGACAATGTCTAGGAAGACAGATGAGAAAATAATTACAAGATTCCTCAAGAGAGATGCTGATACTTGGTCCACACTGTGGAGAAGACAATGGTTGCAATGTTGAAGGTTGAGTTAGAGAAGGGGTGGAGTAGAGGTCTCATTGTTCTTTAGGGAATATTTGTAAAGAGTGCAGCTATTTAGACATGCTTTACTGAGTAACTGTCTTCCTCTACAAGGGAAGGCCACCCTCTCCAAACCGCTGTACAGCTCAGGAGGGACATATAGAGTGGTTAGAGAGGAAGGAACCTCCTGAATAGCCATTAATATCAGTCAAATCAACCTTAGTCATCAATGGAGTGGCAGATGTTACAGCCAAATTAACCTTACCTCTGAGCTGATGGGGGAGGTCTATGAAAAGGAGGAGATCACCTCTACCCACTCTAGTGGAAAAACCATACAAGGACTATGCTGATTAATTTTAACTTTCAACCTGGCATGGGCCAGAATACCTGCTAAAAGAGGGGCGTTTTTTGCATTCTTTTCTTTCTAATAACAACCACAGTTCCCCCTCTCTCCCCTCCTCCTACTCCCCTTTACCTCACTCCCACCTCAGCTCCCCCATCCACTCCTCAGAAAGGGTAAGGCCTCCCACGCAGAGTCAACAAAACCTGGTACATCAAATTGAAGCAAGTCCCTCACCCTTGTATCAAGACTGAGCAAGGCACCCCACCATAGGAAATTGGCTCCAAGTTCAAGAGTCTTAATGAGTAATAGATCAAGTTAGCCTATGGGTATGTCTGTGGGAGTCTTTCTTGATTGTTAACTGAGATGGGGAAATTCAAGCCTATTGTGAGTGTCAGTATTCTCTAGGCAGAATCAGTATAAAGGGAGGGAAAGCTAGCCCAGAGTAAGCAAGAAAATAAAGATACATGTGCATATTTCCTCCCTGCCCTTGACTTCCCTGAAATAATGGGCCATAACCTGGAATTGTAAGCCAAATAAACTCTCTCTTTCCTGGGCTGCTTTTTGTTACAGTAATTGTGACAACAACCAAAATGAAACAAGATCAAGAACATAGACAGAGACGAGAGAAATAGAGCATTGACCTCAGGAATTTCCAAGCTTTAAGATGCTAGGGTGAGCAAGCACCTGGAATATGGCCTGACAGATATTGAGAAATAGGGGCAAACACATCAAACAAATAAATGCATTTTATATATAGTAAATTGGATGAAGAGTTCTTGATCCCAGGGCAAAGATTGTGGCTGAAAAGAAAAATGGAACATTAGGAAAGCCAGCAACACTGGGGTAGTTATTGGAGCCATGGAGAAAATGAAAGTAAAGAGTCATGCCACTGTATCTCCAACCTGGGTCCCTCACTTCACCCATATTTCAGCATCCTCGGTCACCCAATGCAAGTATGGCCCATGTGGTGGTTGGTAATTTCTGGGATGCCTGTTTGCTCTCTATTCTATCCTGACAGCCCATTTTTGCTCCTGGACCTCCCAATGGGGAAGTCTGGAAGAAACATCCATACATTCCACTCAAAGCCTTTACCTGGAGATGGAACCCAGAGTCCCATGCATTCAAGGCAAACACTTTACCACCGAGCTATATCCACAGCCCTGTTAAGTGTCTTTCATTCCCTTGCTGCCTCCCCTCCCTTCAATTTTTTGCTTACTCCGAGTTTTTCTCTTCCTCCAGTCAGGCTGAAGGTCACCATCAATGGCTGCAAAGATTGGATAGGGCAACAGTCCTTCTTCCACATGCTTCTTTATGCTGGACAAGTTAGAGTTCTGTAGCTATGGAGGAAAAGTACCCAGATTGAATGGGGTAGAAGCACAAGGGGATGATTTATTCTCCCCAAACTCAGTGCAATCTTTGCATATAGTGCACCTAGTTCTGGAATAGTCGTTTCTTTCTTCTTCATCTATGAAACCCATTCCACATGTGTGTAAATCCGAGGACAACATGAAGGAGTCAGTTCTCCTTCTACCACGTGGGCCCAGGATTGAACTCAGATCTTGGCTTGACTGCAGCTATCTCAACAATCCACTGTTCATACTCTTCGGTGTAGAAAACAGACAGCAGTCATCTACAGAGTACGGTCGGGTACCCTCAAAGGATGAGACTGGGGAAGAGTCAGAGAGACCTCTGCAGAGGAAAGCAGTCCCACAGGCCAAGAATGAAGAAAGAGATGATGTCCCTATTTATCTGGAGGAATTTTATCCCCTTTGAGCAGCAGTTCTCATTTGTCTCCTTCTCAGGGTGCTGACCATCACCATTCTGTTCTTCATTCCTGTGTTTTACTATCTTAGATGCCTCAGAGAAGTGGAATCATGTGACTGGCTTGTGCCACTTAGCATAACTGAAGGGTATAGTTGTCATGCAAACCATTACCATCTGTCTCACAAATCACACACACACACACACACACACACACACACACAGAGAGAGAGAGAGAGAGAGAGAGAGAGAGAGAGAGAGAGAGAGAGAGGCGGGGGGGGGACACAAGAAATTAGCACTTTGATCATGATAGAGTTCACATGTAAATGCATGTATCCAAAGTCATCAAGATGTGTTTGAAATATATATGTATGTTCAACTGTGAACATATCAGGTAAACCTCCATAAATCTTAAAAAACAGTAAGTTAAACTGTGAGAGGGAGGGTGAGAGAGAAGTACAAGAAAGAGAGAAGATGGAGAGGGGACTGCAGATTGAGAACATCTGCAGAGGACCAGGGTTCAGCTTCCAGGACCCATGATGCAGCTCACAAGTGTCTGTAACACCAGTTCTAAGGGATACAATGCCCTCTTCTGGTCTATACATACACTGCATGCATGCAATGCATATACATAAATGCAGGCACTCATATACAAATAAAACAAAAAATAACTTTAAGGAAAAGGAGGGGGAAGGTGGGAGGGGCAGAAAGGACAGTGAGAAAGGGAAAAGAAGGAGGGAGAGGAAAAGAGGGATAAGAGGAGAAAACAAAAACACCGAGGGTTCCTGTTTTACTTCGACAGTTCTAAAGAGCATCTGTTCCCCTAGGACACACAGTCTGGTAGGAATTCTAACAGTATCATTCAAAACTTCCATTTTCTCTCTTTTTTATTCCTGTCCCTCAGTTCAAGCTGTTTGTCCCTCTCATTTCTAAGAATGGCACAACCAACCCAACTCAACCAAACCACAAAACCAGAAGAAATCCATTGGAGAAAGAACTCTTGGGGCTGAGTTCCTACTGTCATCCTGACTCTCCCATGACGAATTCACCCTGTAGGTCACAGACATTTGGATTGTGGTAGTCATCTGTTCTGAACAGAGCTGACCAGTTGATATGCTCAGACAGCCTGGGAATGGATCCTAGAGCCTGCTGACTAGAAGGTCTGGAGGTGACCACAGTGACACTCTGAGCCTGGGGAAAACTTTTCTAAGAACACAGGGATGCAGAAAACTCCAGTCTTTCTGGGGTAAAGAATAAAACATGAATACAAGCAAAGAGAAAAGTAAATTCAAGAAAAGAAATGATCAAGGACAGAGATGGAAAAAAATAGGTGCCTTGGAGCCTCTTGCATTTGGATGGTCCTAGATGTTTCTATGGTTCTCATAATTTCTACTCACTTTACTGCACAAACCACTCAGAGTCTGATTCTTCTACTTTCAACCAATCAACCCTGGCATATTTTTAGTCTTGAGGTAGAAGTTCCGAGTGACCAGATTTGGAAGAGCTGAAAGAAGATTTTGGTCAAGTCTTTTGGGACCCCATGTCCTCTACTAGGAGTGACTTACTTCTCTGGTTTGCCTGGAAACAACAAAATAGGCCCAAAAGTCAGTCATGGAGTAATTCTCCTTCTTTGATGCCTGTATGGCTTTCTCCAAGTTTTCTGCAAAGTGCCACCTATTCTTCTCATATCGCTGTTTCAGCTCCTCTTCCATCCCTTCCACATTTCCATTGTTGATATAGAATGAAGACAACGCCCTGGGGACAGAGAGAAGAAATGGACTGAGGATCAGAATAGTGACCCCAAAACGCCATTAACTCTGACTGTCTCTCTCATGTAACAAGCCAGGGGAAGAATGATTAATTGTCATAACAGAAACTAAGTATGCAAACAAGGATGAGAGTCCATGGAAGACTCACGCATGTGAAGTATGTGTGGTGTGAGTCTTTTATTCAACAGATAGGACAGTGAGAGCAAGATAGAAGAAATACATCATAGTTTAATGTTGGACTCCAGGCCAGACTGCTACCCTGCCCATTATACAGGCAGAGTCATGCGCCTACTAAGATCATAGTCTATGAAGATCTAGTTAACATATTCCCAAATACCAGGACCTCTAACCTGGGGAAATAAGTTTACACCAAAGAGGGTACAGATAGATACACATCCTGCTCCCCAACTGCTTCCACGATGGGAAATCAGAGAGACTGATTGTAGCATCATGCTGAAACCTCCCTGAGACCTATAAAAAGGACTCTACCATATGAGTCCTGACTCCTGTCAGATCCCCCACCACATTGTCTGTCTCATTACAGAACACTGAACTCTGTTGTTATCTATATGTTGATGGCATTAATAACTGGTAATTTGAATGAGAATGCCCTTTATAGATTCATGTGTTTGAACTTGGTTTCCAGTTGGTGGCACTGTTTGGGGGAGGTTTTGGAACTTTCAGGAGGTAGAAACTTGGCTGTAAAATATATCACAAGGGTGAACTTTGAGAGTTCACAACTTCACCATATTTTCAGTTCACGCTCTCTGGTTTCTCTGGTTGCTCAGAAGATGTAATCTCAACATCCTGCTCCAACTGCCTGCTGCTATGCCTTTCCTACCACTACAGACTCCCCTTTAAAGCTGTGAGCCCAAATAAACTCTTCCTTATACAGTCACTTTGGCCATCATGTTTTATCACAGCAATAGACAAGTAACTAAATAGTAACTTCTGATAACGTTTTTACCCCCATAGTCCATCTCAGTGTCCCTCTGAATCCCACCTCTGAGACTGAATCCCAATCCTACACATGACAGGCAGATAGTATTTGTTTCAGATGAACATCTATCAAGTGTGTGACCGTTACATCATTGTTCTCATTTGGTTTCTATTGCTGTGATAAAATACTGACCCAAACCAACTTTCAGAGGAAAGGGTTTATTTGGCTTACAGGCTAAATTATACTTCATCACTGAGGGAAGTCAAAGCAGGAACTCTGGTAGGAACTGATGAAGAGTTCATAAAGGAATGTTGAATCCATGGCTTTCTCGGCCTGCTTTCTTATACAACCCAGGACCACCAGCCTAAGGGTGGCTGCAGCATTTACCTAAACTGTTACTAGTGGAGTATTGACCCTTGTAGTTAGAGGCTCTTCCATTCCCAGCTGCCCAAACTCAAAATAATCATACAGAAACTATATTATTTGCAATACTGTTTGGCCAATAGCTTAAGCGTATTGCTAGCTAGCTCTTATATCCGAAACTAACCCATCTCCACTAATCTGTGCATCAGCACGAGGTCATGGCAAAGTTTCAGCAGGATCTAGCAGAGGCCTCTGTCTTCTGTGGCAGCTACATGGCTTCTCTCTGACTCCACCTACTCTCTCTATATATCTTTTCCAGCCTTGTTATATTCTGTTAAGTGATTGGCTGAAAGCAGCTTCTTTATTAACGAATGACAATAAAACATATTGACAGCATACAGAGGGAAATCTCACATCAGACCCTGCTGTTCACGTTTTCCAGACCCAAAAGCCCCAGAAGTCCCCCTCATCTCCTGCTTCTATCTTCCTGTCCCTCTCTTTCTCCCGACTTCCTCAGTCTTCCAACAGCTCTATGACTAATCTCAGTCAGTCAATTGCTGGCTCTGTCCTTGATTCAAGGTGGCATTATTGGCACAGCAGGGCAACAGTGTGAAGAATTCTCTCCCAACAGGTGGCACTGCCTGCAGTAGGCTAGGTTCTCACACATCAAACATTAGTCAAGAAAATGCACTCACAGTCTTGTCTACATGCCAATCTGATGGAGACAATTTCTCAGTTGAGGTTCCCTCTTCCCTGATGACTATGATTCACATCAAGTTGTCAAAGAAACCAACCAGCACAATCGTCTTCATAATTAGCCATCAAAAGGAACAATAGGATCATTCTCAGTTTAGAGAAGCAGAAAGAAGCAAAGCTCCTTCTCAGCATCACACAGGTATTGAAAGGGAACTGGATTTGTTCTCCTATCATCTTCCTGCTTTTTATTTTCTTAATAAAAAGATTTAGATAAACAAGTTGAGAACATGCCTAGATGGAGAAAGGTTTTCAAAGGAAAACTCCTTACCAGTTCCTATAAGGAAACTCAATACCGGCTAGTTCAGTCAGAACTTTTTAATACTTTTAAAAATGTGCATCTAGCTGCACGTACAAGGATGCACATACATATCCAAGTGCCCATGGCAACACAATGAACCCTAATTTCCTCAAGTCACATTTGTCAAGTGGCATTTTTATTTATGTTATTGCGTGTGTCTGTGCATGTGTATGTATCTTCATGCACACATGTTGGTGGGGGGGGGTGCCCAAGGAAGCCAGGAGAGAATGTCATCTTCTGAAGCTAGATGGGTGTTGTGAGCCTCCTGAGGTGGGACCCAAACTTCAGTTCTCATGACTGAGCAGCAAGTGTTCCTAACCACTGATCCAAGTATCCAGCCCCATTTATCAGGTATTTTTGAAACAGCAATGAGGGAACGTAGTTAACAGTGCATGTGATTAATATGATTAGAAATTGGTTCTTCATTCAATTTAATTAACTTGAATTTAAACACTGCCATTCTATTCCATTACTGGAAAGCTGAAAGACATGAGAAATAAGTTTCTCTGACCTCCACACATGTGTGGTGGCAAACATATGCAAATGTATTTATAAACATGCTCAATAAATAAACATAACAAAATTATTTAAAATAAAATGTGTATCTGTTTTCAAAGACTTGGGCTGACAAAAGGAATATCAAATATCTGATTAATGACTTGTATTACATGATAAAATACTCATATGTCAGACACCTGGAGGAAGAAGAGTCGTTTTTCTCTTGGGTATGGCCACTGATAAATCTACTATACCCCAGAGGATGACCCCACACCCTTGTGCATATGGAAGTATTAAATGGACTGAATCACAATAAAAATAAAATGGGAGGATATGAAGTTGAGAAGGAGCTGTGCTGAAGAGGGTCTTGGGGGAATGGGGAATAGATACGATTAACATATACTACATAAACATATATGTATATATAATTTTAAATTAACTAATATGCTATTATTAAAAAAAATACATCATTAAAACTAATGTCACTGTACCCTTTTACTTTGTTAAGGGGCTTTTAGTGATTGGAAGCCCCTGGCCAGGGAGTTGCCCAGGTCCAGACTCCAACTCCTACCCTGTCAAGCACTGACCCCTCTCCCGGGGAGGGTCAGGACCACTCCCTCAGGCTATTTAGGCTTGTGCTGGAGAAAGGTTTTGGGGCTTTCTTGGGCTCTTCTCCCTGCCATGCTGTCTCAGTCCACCCAAGTGCTGCATTTATTAAACAACAGGCATTTAATTCGATTTAATCTGGTCTGATTGGAGTTCTTTTTTGTCAGTGGGACAGCTTGTCTTGAGATTTTCCCTAACATTTAGAAAATCAGAAGGGACAAATGTGACTCAAGTTATATTTCTATTAGATAGCTCTATCTGTCTATCTGGATGCGTTCTCTGTCACAGCAGCACTGTTAAGACTAGAACTGTCATCCTTCAAAGAGCCCAGGAAACAGTGGCACATAGGTGTGACAGCTGAGTTTATATCACCCCTAAATGATTCACTGTAGGAGTTGTATCAGTGCGTTGGACTGCAAGACCCACCCCCTATTCCCCTACAGGCAACAACATCATGCTTAAGCTTTAAGAAGTCTTTAATCTCTATTTCAATAGCACCCCTAAAGCTGGGACAGAGGAAGCATGGCTCAACCCCAGGCAACACAGGGATGATAGTAGACATGATGGTGTGTGTGTGTGTGTGTTTTCACATGCATGCATGGGTTAAAAGGAATGTGCATGCATGTGAAAGTCAGAGAGCAATATTAGGTAGTCATTCCTCAGAAGCATCTCCCCTGTTTTCTGAGACACGGTCTCTCTTGCTGGAGCTCACCAATTAGTAGAGTAGGCTAATTGACTCATGCACTGTAGGATTCCACCTGTCTCTACCTCTCCAGTGTTGAGATCACAAGCATGTGTCACAATGCCCAGCTTCTTAAAATATAGATTCTGGGGATGAATTATCTTTCTAGCTTTTATGATGATAATCTTGATTGTCACTTGACATGATTTAGAATCATCTAAGAGGCACATCTCTGAGAGTGCCTGTAAGGGAACTTCAGGAAGCTGGGAAGATGCACCTAACAGTCATTCTCAACCTTCCTAATGCTGTGACCCTTTAATACAGCTCCTCATACTGTGGTTCCCCAACCATAAAGTTATCTTCATTGCTATTTCTTAACTGTAATTTTGCTACTGTTATGAATAGCAATGTAAATATTTTCATAGGTTGAGAATCGCTGACCTAGAATGTGAGGTATCAATCTATTGGGCTGTTATTATGGCCTGAATAAAAAGGATAAAGTAAGCTGAACAACAGAATTCATCTCTCTATGCTTTTTTAAGCTTTGTTTCCATTTTTAATTACATGTGTACCTATATCTGTTTGTGGGTCTATGCACATAAGTACAGGTGCCTGCAAAAACCAAAAAGTGTCAGATCCCTGAAGATGGTGTTACAGGTGTCTGTAAAGCCACCTGACACAGGAGCTAGGAACTGAACTCAGGTCCTGCAGAATTGACATAAATACCATCTCTCTGGCCCCTCTTTCTGTTTCTAGAATGAAGATATAATGTGACCAGTATAGGACCCAGCCATGACAAGCTCAATAGAGGCCTGAGTCTCAGTAGTTTACCCTGAGGCAATA